CACTGCAAAGTACACCAGAAAGTGGTTGGAAAGTCATGGGATTTGGACCATTGATGTACCCCCATACTCACCTGATCTTAACCCCATTGAACACATGTGGTGGGCTCTTAAACGGAAACTTCATCAGCTTCACCCAGAGTTTGACAGTCTTGGAGACTCTGCCAATGAGTGGGAGTGCTTTTGTGAAGGTTTGAAAGAAGCATGGATGGCCATACCCGACAAATTGATCAGATCACTCATCTACTCAATGCCAGAGCAACTCAAAGCCTGCATCAGAGCACAAGGATATCAGACTAAATACTGAGAATAAGCGCAATAATCTATCAAGTCAGATCTACTTTTCACCTCATGGTTGTTGAGAAAAAGCATTGTGAACGTTCACTCAAAGCTGAGATGGTGGCCTGTGCGCAACTGCGCGAACAGACTTTTGTCCTGTGACTGTACCTTTATGGTACGTTACTAGGAGAGAGCTATATCCTGTTAGATAGCACAAACAGCAAGCTGTATATCTACTTTATTGGAGTTTTTTTTGCGTTCTTGTCTTAAGTCATCACAACTTGTGCAAAGTATAGTTAGGTCTTAGAGAAAGTAACCAGCTGGCTTAGGTAACTAGCTTGCTTGTAGAGTACATTATAGAGATTTTAGAGCTTTAATATCGCCCTTTCTGTATTACAAAATGGCTTTTTCGCACTCTCTTCGCAGCTTTGCTTGTAGGATTCAGCAATTGCAGCAATGTTCGTATTTTGAAGCCGTTCAACCCGTTCCGCGGTTACTTGGAAAGGCTGAGGCAAGGGAGGAAACGACGCAGCAAGAAGCGGCTGGCTGTACTCTACATTAAGCGACTCTAAGACAAGAGGCGTGATGTGAGCAGCTGAAAGCAGAATCCGAGGCATACCTTTGCAAATTAGTTTGGTCTCATCGTATTCTGCGACATTAAGCACGTACCGTGTCCAGCGAATCCCGCAGCGATGTAGTGGCCGTTCCGGGCTGGCACAGGACCAACGAAAGGAAAAGAGTCTGCACTGGAGGTCTCAACTATGATCCAGTCAGTTAAATGGTATTTTTTGTCTTTCAGAATAGCTTGGACTTACTCCCAGTCCAACATCCGCTTCGGTCAACTTTATTGCTGAGCTCTGCAAGACTCAATCCCGGCCAATCCGTCACATCCGAGGCGGGCCACGACTTGAAGAATTCTGCTACTCCGGCAATCTCTTGGTCATCTTCATCGTTCAACATACATTCTTTTGGCCTATGGACGAGTAATTGTCTTGCTCCTCCAATCATGATAGTGTTGTAGGGGGGAGGGAGTTGGAGATGATAATTCTGCCTCTGTCATCAGGTCAAAATCTTCGCAGTAAGAAACTGAGACTTACATTAACGGTGTTGTCCCAGTGCTGGGCACCAGTGTGCTTGATGAATCCCGGGGGCGCCTTGATCGCAGCGACAGTCCCCCTCATAGGTAGTATGAGCTTGTTAAACTCCGGAAGCAGATGAGCAGCCCATCTATTTGTCGTATGGACTACTGTCCTGGCACGTATCGTTCCTCGCTCAGTCTTGACCGTGACCCAGCCGTCGGCATCTCGCTCTGAAACACCAGTGACTGGCGTATTAGCTTGCAAATTCAGATTGCCTTTTTGGAGAACAATACGCAAAAGCGCATGCACAAATTTATATGCCCATCTAAGACCATGTCAGACGCTCTTCGCGAGCATTATGTAAGTAGGGGAGACTTACATTTGCCCTGTAGGATGCACCACTGCCGCAAGAGCCCCCTTCATCTGTGAAAACTCTTCCGCTTCGCGGGCGTCTTCGATTAGTCTGCATGCCTTGACAATATCGTTTTCATCGCCATGATCCTTTTGCATGGCTTGGAATGCGCCTTTGAGCCGTGTCCAGGCCTCATCAGTCATGGCAGCGTCAAAAGTCTCCCCGAATTTGAGACAGACTTCTTCAGCAATACCCTCTGCATCAGCTAGGTCCCTAAATGCTGATAAATGGGCCATCTCATGTGCGATGAGTCCCATCGCTCCATCGGGTCCAAAGCGTTTGGACCATGCCGGATAGCGAGAATAAGCGTGCGGTCTCAATTGTCCTCCTGCTTACTGTTAGCGCATGTCTACACGCTGCAGGTATTATTACCATTGCGTCCAGTGGCTCCCCCACAAATATCTCGCGCTTCTAGGAGAGTTACCTGAGGCTGCTTCGAAGCCTTCTCTGTATACTGGACTTCGGTCAGAGTCTGTAAGCTGATAGGTCATCATGGTACGGTCACGAACTTTGTGAATCCAATAAGCGGTTGACGCGCCGGCGTAGCCACTGCCGATAATTGCTACATCAGTCTCCGCTGGTAACTCGTCGCTGGAGCGAAAATTACGCAGAGGCGATTCGGCATTCTCGATCCAATAGCATTTGGTGGGGTTAGCAGTTGGGAAGACCATGCTGGACGTTGAGGAAAGCAATTTTTATTTATGTTCCTTTAAAGGGCAAGTTTCCACCATATATAAACAGTGTGTGCAGTTCCATGTGCGTTAAACCCACCGGAAACCAACCGGATGTCTGATCCAATAGCGACAGATAAGCGACAGATAAGGATGCTCCCGATGGGTCCCGGCCTCTCCAGTCATCGGCCCGTCTTCATAGATAGCCTGATAGCCTGAGCGGCGTGAGAGTTAGCTTAGACGAGGCCGGCTAAGTTTTCTATTATATTGTACGACTACATATAGTATACCTACAGAACATATCATCGAGCCTGTCGCACAAGCCCTTCGCTATCGATCTCCTTTCTCTTGAGCACCACACCGACACAATGACTCGGCCTCTAAGACATGTCGTCTTTGACGTCGTCGGCACCTGCGTGTCATTCGACGCTTACTACCAACGCATAGACTCAGTCTTGGGTGCAAAGCTTCGCCAAAACACCGTCACCCCACAACATTTTGGGTTCACCTGGCAGACCGCTGCCGAATTGGAATTCACTTTCTTATCGATTTCTGGAAGCTATAAGGCCTACCAAGAGGTTCTCCGAGGACTCTTCTACCGCACTCTCAGCCTTTGCGGCATCGCCGATCCTCGGGCTTTGGCCACCGACGAGGAGCGGGAGAAATGCATTGAAGGTTATCAATCTTTGCAACTCCGACCTGGCTGCCGCGAGTCCTTTCAGATCTTGCGCGACAATGGGTTCACTGTATGGTGTTTTACCACCGGCGATGTGCAGCGCGTCAGAGGCTATTTTGAGCGTGCTGGTGTGGATATGCCATTGGAGAACTTCATCAGTTGTGATGTTGCGGGCGTAGCTAAACCCGCTCTCCCCGCCTATCAGGCCGTGTGGGACCGACTGGGGGCTAACGATGTGAAATGGTTTGCTGCCGCGCACATGTGGGATGTTGCAGCCGCGACGAAAGTCGGGTTCCGTGGCGCCTGGAGTTCGGTGTACGAGAAAGAACCTTGCCTCGACGTTTTCAGTGATGCGAAACTTGAGGTAGTGGCTGGGAGTCTTGTGGAAATGGTGCAGCAGATTGTAGAGAAGTCACAATGCCATCAGTAAAAAATGTTCTATCTTTTCACATCCGCTCTAGTGGCCTTCCAATTCATGCCCGACAGTTGTCATCGTTGTGAGGATTGAACACAGACTGTTGAAGGAAAGGTAAACGAAAGTAGGGGGAGATTTGTCCAGATCACTTCGTCTGTTTCTCCTGGCAGTAACCTACCAAAATGAATCAGGCGTACTGAAGAGTGCTTCTGGAAACACATATGGAGAACGCACTTGTCAGTCTTGCATTTGATTACATTCCCAAGAATTACTTCAGCTGACTTGGCTTTAACGTGAGTGTCCCCGTCTTAGTGAACAGGTATTCCTTGATCGCGACGTCTTTGCCGGCTCATTTCATGCCCGTACTCGACCTATCCTACGGCTTCAGCCAAGGCTTGCTAGAATCACACACTACGATCTTTGCGACGTCGTGCTTGTTCTCTTCGTTGAGCTGGTGCCAGGTGGGAAGCAGCTTGGTCCGCTGCCGGGAAGCCACGTCGTGGTATATCTCGAAGGCAATATGTGACGACTGCACGCATGCATCGACGTCGCAGATATCAGTTGCGGGACAGATGCCAAAGGCTGCGCCGGTCGTGGGAGTTCTTGGGGGGAGAGAAAGAGCTGCAAGGTACTGACCAACGACAGTGAAACGGTAAGTTCCGCGTGCCAAGAGTGTTGTAGCCGACGATTCTAGACTAGCCCTGCTTGTACTTACGCAAGTGTGTCCCCAACCAGGCTAGTCTTTGTCTTTCTACCAAGCTCTGTACATGCCCGTAGGATTGTCTTGTATGAGATAAGCCTCTTCTGATCCTTTTTGACCGGGCCGGTCGTCGTGTCGGATTGCGTAGCCCCACCGTTAATCAATCACTCAACGATCAACCACCCAACGTCGTCTTATCGCCGGCGGTCCAGCAGGCGGGCATCCCTGACTGCAAGCGGTGGTCCTCGGCACTAATCAACTATCGCCATCTGCTCAACACAGTCTGTCAAATTAGTACCTCCGGCTCAGCAGGCCCTGTGCTTTCCTGCTCCATCCAAGCTATGGACGTTGAGCACCCAAGGCCCACCAAGAAGCGCCATTTGGCGGCGGAAGAACGACAGCGAGCGGTTCGCGCGTAAGACAGCACTGCCCACTAGTGTCCCGGCCAAACATGCGAGACAGGATCTTGACTGACCTGCGTTGCGCAGCTGTGGCGAGTGTCGCCGCCTCAAGGAGAAATGCGAGGACGGGATGCCCTGTAGGCGCTGTCGCCATTTACGCAGGCCATGTGAATTCAATCTTCTGCCTACTACGGTGGACAAGCGAGCACCCGACTTTGCCGGCTCGGTCAAAGAGCTGAGGGACCGCTTGCGATACATGGGATTTATCCTCAAACACCATTTTCCCAATCTCGCCTTGGATACCGACTCTCTGCGACGCACATGCGATGCGCTGTGCGCGCCGACTCTACGACCTGACGAGAACGAAACGACCGTCGAGTCGCTCGAGCCGCGCGCAAATGCGCAACAGTCTGACAGCCCTGGGATTGACGACGAGGATTGCACCATCGACTACGTAGACAACACTACAGTTCGTATGTTCTCCTCAGGCTTCTCGTTACTAGCCGCAACACTGATAAGATCTTCCATCGCGCTGCAGACTATTCTGGCGAATTCTCTCACTGGAACTTCTCCATGCACATCAAGCGCAATATAGACGAACTGATGGTCAAATCCAATGTGCCGGTATGCAACTATCCGCAGACCCGGTCGTGTGCGGATATTCTAATCTGTTTATGTATATGTGCTCATTATGTCTTTTAGCGCTTGGAAAACGTCAACCGCGTACCAGTCTTCATCCGCGTCGGCGAGGCAGACCCGGCCTCGACTTCCATCTCCGACATAATTGCCATTCTTCCACCCCGCCCTGTAACCGCTTTTTTGACTAATGTCTTCTTTAAGCATGCCACAAGCTTCTACTATTATGTAGATCGACGCTGGCTGGACGGTATTTTAGACCACATATACACAAATGTGACCGGGCTACGCCCAAAAGACGTTACCGCAGTATGTGTGGTGCTGATGGTGCTGGCAGTTGGAACCCAATACGTCCACTTGGAATCTCCCAAACGACACAGTGGGCGCAGCACTGGCGTTTCACCAAGCTTCGATACCCAAAATAACTGGGAGTTCGACATTGGATCCACCTTTTACCGTCAAGTTTCAAAGCTTCTTTCGGAATTCATTCACACTGGCTCGCTACTCAGCGTTCAGGTTATCCTGCTTCTTGGTCTTTATGCCCTACCCATCGACGCCTCCGGACTGAGTTACATCTATTTAAATTTGGCCATTAAGGTAGCCATACAAAACGGCATGCATCGAAAGACCTCTCGTACCGTTTTTGATGAGAGCACCAAAGAGATCAGGCTTCGCATTTGGTGGACGGTGTACTGTATGGAACGGTTCGTCTCCAACTTTCCGACAACATCCCGATCCTTCTGCTCACAGATCTGAAAACCAGAAAGATTGGCATATACCATGGCCGTCCGGCATCTATCGCACGTTCCGAAATTGATGTAGATAAACCGCGAAGCCAGGATGCAAATTTTTTGAATGATGACGCTTTCAATACCTCTGGTCTGCTAGAATCAATCACTCTGACAGACGAAGCTGAAGCATTCCTCCACGAAATGTGAGTTCAGAGTCAGATTTATGATCAATGGCACATAGGTAGGAAACAGTCGACTGACCATTTTTGCCAGATCACATCTTAGAACCTGCACAAGATCTGAGATTGGGACTATATTGAATCGTATCAAGCGCATGAAGACGAATCTGCGAGGACAGTGGTCACCTCCTCGCGGCGATGCAATATCAACATCCACGGCAGACCAAACAGTGCAATCGAAATCCCGCGCGGAGATTCATTCTCAGTTGGAATACTGCCTGTTGAATATGTTCATCGGGCGACCATTCATCCTGGCCCATCGTCAACTACGGGCCGATGTCCATTTCAAAGGGGCCAATGCTGTACCGGGACCTACAGAAGCACCACGAACAAAAGCAGCCGAGTCGCATGTGCAGTGGGAATTTTTGGTCCAGGACTGTGTCGCGGCTGCGATGGAGGTCATCGGCATCTGTCATACCCTGCAGACGGGGGGCATCGGCCTCGCAAAGTCGTCCTATACCGAATACAGTTCCTGTCGTGCGGCCCTGCTGGTCTTGATTGCCTACAGCATCTGTTACCGTACGAACGAGTTCTCTAGCACCTTACAGAAAGGTCTTGATGCGATCAGAGAAATGGCTTCGGTGGGTGATTCAGCGCGCTCAGAAGTCTGTCTCCTTGAGACATTGGAAGCGGCGTTGCATCGAATTCACATGTTCGATCCAATACCGGGCCAACCCACAGTTACAGGAACGAAAAACTCGGCGCAAGAGGGTTACGAAGGTTTTGTCAACTGGTACACGAAATTAGGAGGCTCCACAAGTTCTTGTGCCGGACTCTCGGCATGCAACGGTGATGATGCAAAAGGAGTGAAAGCGCAAAACCGAGAGCCTCGTCCGCAGGCAGGACCAAACAGAAGTGATCCAGCGATGACCAGCATGCAAAGCGACCTATTCGTCGATGATTATCCATTCGATTTTGATTTACTAAACTCGGTTGGAAACGTGGCTTTCCTTACGCCAGACTTCAACGAACATGGCTATCCAGAGAGAGAATTGTTTGTTAATCTTCTGTAGATGTTGAGATAACATCCTGCGCAAGCTGGTATTACTTACGTATGATGATTCACGGATATTAATTCTTTACGCAAGGAGAGGATACGTGCTGATGAATGAACCCTCAAATTGCAATCTTAAGCCGTCGCACCTAAATGCGTTACTCGTAGTCGCCAGGTTCGTCGTTCACGTCGTTTTTCACAGTTTTTCTCGAGCAGGTTGGCTTTTTGAAACTTGTTGCCACATTTTCAGAGACATGTGCTCCTTTGGCTGATACCACCTGCTCGGAGAGATACGATATGGAACAGGCAGGTCGACCTCCTTCGTATTACCCGTAATGATCATAGAAGCGACAGCTTTTGCAGAGAAGAAGATCTGCGGCATGCCATGCCCGCTGAATCCCGCGCACATGTATTGGCCGGGTCTCCCGCAAGCTGGTCCAACATAAGGAAACCCGTCATTAGAGTAGCCCATAACTAGTAAGGAAGACGAGTCAGCTCGAAAGATTCAGTCATGGGGCTAGTTTGCTAGCATGACACTTACTGCCGGTCCAGATGTCTTCCGTGCGGACACCGCTGTTTTCCCACCCATGAAAATGTCGTTGCATATATCCGTCAAAGTAACATCGCGCGCTTTCTATCATTTTGCTGTCGTCGGAAACGTCAAACCATTCGTCCAAGTCCTTGTAGTAGTCTCGCTTTCCACCACCCAAGATGATGCTACCGTCTGGCCGAGGAATCATGTAGTCGTACTCGTAGTCTGAGAGCCGTATCATATAACTGTCTGTCAATTTCGGTGCATTTGCGCCCACCAGCCGTGCAACTACGCCTCTCACAGGGACAATTTTGTCTCTCATCTCTGATACTAGGGCCGAAGTGTAACCGTTAGTAGCATACACGACGGTATCAGTCTTGACCGAGCCGCGTGGTGTATTCACAAGCCAACGGTAATCTTTTGAGCTTGCGTTTGCAGCTAACACACTTGTAACAGGCGTATGTGTCTGCAGGTTTACTCCTAGGTATATGGCCTTTTCCAGCAGGTGCGTCACAAGTCGGTACGGCCACAAACGGGCAGCATTGTATGTATGACAAGACATTGCACCCCGAACGCCAGAAATCTGTGGATATATTCAGCTTGGGGAAGGGATGGAAAGGGTGTGAAGAGGACTCTCGAGATTGTCCCTAAGGGGCGTACATACCACTTCAGCTTTGCTACCTGAGATATACTCTATCCCCTTCGCCGTAGAGATGTCGGCTTTGGCGATTTTGGCGAGGTCGGCTTTAATTTTATCTCGACCTTCTTTATATAAACAGACATCTGTGACCTTGGTTTCTTCGAAGTCACAGTCGATATGTTCACGCTGGACTAGGTCCCTGATTGCGGCAACTTGACGGGCCTCAAATGAAGCCACATGCTCCGCAACCACTTTTCCATGCACCTCGAGTACGCTGGCAGCTCTTAACAGTGGATCAGGCTTCAAATGACCGCCTGGGTGTTCAGAATTAGCATCTAGAGAATCGTGCTCATGTCCCACGTATACTTTTCACGTACCGTTGCGTCCAGTGGCGCCAGAGCAAGCCTCACGAGCCTCGAGGATGAGTATCGAAGGAATTGGGCGGTCGCAGCGCACACTCTGCTCGATCAAGTGATGCACAATCGATGCTCCAACATATCCTGCGCCAATAATTACAATATCAGCCCTCGTGACAAGATCTTCGGTACTGCGATGGTTGTCGATTGGCCCCACTTGTTTTCTCCAATAAGAAGGAACAGCATCTGCCACCGGAAATGGTTCGGCGCCGTGGCCAGCGGAAGACATATTTGTGAACATCTTTCGAAACTGCAACGTCGCAGGTCTTTGGTCGAGCGTTGTAGTGCGAAGCCCCAACAATATCAACTTTCAACTTGGAGTGAATGCCCGAGGCGGTGCCCCTCTGGGATATGCGGCCGGGCCGGTCTCCAACAAGGATTTGGCCCACCTTGCCGCGAAGCAAGTCAAAGCCGGTGCAGTGCGGCCCGGCCAATCCTGTGGATTTTTGATATTCGTGGAGTTGTTCAATCTTATCTCGCGCCAGATAAGACTAGATCAGGTGTCTCTTACGTGATCTGACCTTTTTTACCTTGCTACTGTGCCTCTCTTCCGAAGCTCGATGTGATGAGGATTCGCTTCGGTTGTCAGCCATGATCTATAAACTTAAGTCGGTCTTCAATGCAAGATCCCCCCGGCTGTTTGTGAGCCATCTTCGCAGTTATATAAAGAACATAATGTACCTCGCGAGCAAGCCGCTCACCCGAGCAAGCCACTCACTTTTGCTAAGACCATACCAAAATAACAACTAATCTGCAACAAACTGTATATTAGCTGTGTTTGAGCGTCTTTTTAACTTTTTGTTGTAAGACATCACGACTTGAGTAGAATTTGGTGTGGTCTTGGCACAGTGAGTGACTCGCTCGGGTGAGCGACTCATCTGTGAGGTACGTTACTTGTCACGGTTTGGGGTCTCTCCTGCTCCTGCCTGTCGTACCCCACCTACCATGAGAGTGACTGCCACGTCACACTAGCGTTGTTTACAGTCACTCACCTACATATACTGTTCGTAGCTTCATACAATACAACCGCAGTACAATCTTCAACTTCTTCCCTTTGCGTACAGTTCACTGAACTCCATCATTACTACTGTTATGGGTAAATATGTTATACTGCGAGACCTTGAGAAGTCGTGCGTAGCATCCTCTTAATAACCAACATTTTAAGTAGCAGATCTAATTCTGTCATCAATTTGCCTGCTTATTAGAGTTTATTGTAGCGGTGTGGACCGCTGTAGAATACTGATAGCTACGGTAAACGATAACGTAGGACGATCGGGTCGATGGAATACTGTGCTGTATTGCTATCTAGCTAGGAGGAGACGACTATATACCTGACCTTTAACACACTAGTCCAGGGTAGTGGTCAGGGGTATAGTCAGACACTGTACGGACCAACCGATACCGCAACAATCATGTCCCAAATTGTAATATACTTGTGCGATGGCGAGACCAATAACTTTGAAAGCTGGGACTAAAAGAACCTGGCCAAACCGCAACTGATGTCTATTACTGTATCGTCTCAGTTAAACCAATCTTCCACAGATGAATACCTAGTTTCATGCTGCCTGCTTTCCAAGACTCCTTCCAACTGTGGTTTTACTGAGTTCTTAAGATGTAGAGTATATTGCCCTAAGAGTCGGGCGCATTTAGTTTGTCCAGTGTCCTTTACTTCAGTAGAAGGGTGAGAGACAGAATTGGCTTATCCATGGACGTCATTGGTTAATATACGACGCAGTGCGTACAAGCAAGCAGCAGCAGCCCGAAACTGCACTTTGCTCTAAATACTTAGCTCATGAAGCGGCACGATCAGCGTTGTGAAAGATCTTTAATAGCGCCAAAATAAATATATAGGTCATTGAAACCGTCCCAGCTGTGTATGGCTGATTGAGCGTCAGACAGGGCATTGTTACCAAACGATTGGATTACGCTCTTGTTAATCTCTCTAAGCAACGTCTATCTACGTAGATATCTAAGCTTATTTGCCCTCCCTTAGAATCAGGCGGGGAGTACATCATTTAAGTACCTTTGTGATTGCTACGTACAGGGACACCTTAGAACAGCTATTCTAATGTTGAACTCGTGCTACAACATCCACATATTCTTATTCCCCTTTTTGAGTATCGTCGAGCACGACACGGGTATGATCGGTAAGGTCAATGTCTGATGGTCTTTTTGGGATCCTAGTGATCAATAGAACCATACTGGGGATAGCAAGGACCAACATAGCACAGTTGACATAGATCGGAATCCCGGGGCTTATGTTGCTTGCAGAGCTCAGACCGTAGGATACTGCTTGGCCTGCCGTCTCAAATGCGCGAAACACACCTCCGGCCCGTGCAGCATACTTCATCTCGACCGAGAATGTGCCGAGGACCCAATATATAGTGAGTTGGGTCCAGTAGCCGGTCACGAAAATGATGAGGTACGGCACGTATGCCTTGCTCCATTTGCCAGTTTCCCTGTTGAAGTTAGTCTCAATCAGATCGAATATTGGTGTAACAGCTCACAAATTGTAATCTAGAGTTGACGGAAGATGGAGATAATGGTACTCAAGTGCGACCCAGATAAAGCAGCCAATTTGAGGCAGAATCCACAGCAGGGAAGCTACCCATGCGCGGCGCCGCTGCGACCAACGTGTGTTGTCTAGCAGCTTGCCGAATAGTATCACTGATGGAATGGTGATGGTCGCTCCACTAGTCAGTATATGAATAATGGTGCGAGGAGCTATTACATACGGACTAGAAGAGATGAAAGTGCGCGTGCGCGGACAGAAAAGTGCTGCGAGAGATAGGTGCCCAATGTTCCTCCGTAGAAGAAAGAGTAGAAGGCGGGAAGGAACACAAGCCAGGTCTGTTACAGTGTTAGCTTATTCAATGGAAAGTGACCGGGCATCCTATACCTTTGGATTCTGCAAGTGCTTCCCCAAAGCAATGAATTCTTGCTTCCATGAGAGCATCTCGGACATGGATACTTTACTGTCATCGCGACGACGTACTCGCGCAGTTGGAGACAATAACAGTGCCCACAAGATTCCGGTACATTCTAAGATCTGTTAATCACAATGTAACCAAGCCGACTGGTCTTGACGTGCCGAACCCAATGAAGATTAGATATGTCGACCACGCAATTCCTCCACTCGATGCTCTGTCAGAGTTCGTGGAGAAGTTGATTACGCCACCGATTACGCTTCCGCTGCTTCGCATTGCAGACCATATGCCTGCGATCTGTTAGCAGAGTGGTGATTCCATGTATTGTTTCGGATTCCTACCAAGGTAGAATCCCCTATCTTCTAGCTTTGGGTAAGACAACATGGCCGTCGTTTCACTAACGTAAAGAAAACCAGATGCTGTGCCTTGTACAACCTAACCACATCAGAAGGTTTCCTTTTCAGGGTTGCGGCTTGCACTTACATTAGCTGCTAGGAGGTACCAGTCAACGCTGTACCTAGCGTTTACATAGTACGCAGATCCTTGTAGAGGCATGGCAACAGCTGCAATGAAGCAAGACCACTTGATCCCAATTTTGTTGATAACAGGTCCTCCAAGGATGGTACTGGCGAAGCTGCACGCGTAACTCAACGAGTTCGCAAGATTCGCCAGCCATGGTGTAGACAGCCCGCCTCCTCCCAGGTTGCTTATAGCATCAGACATAGCCGGGCCAACCAGTGACAACCTGTGTAACGATTAATTTACCACCTGTAGCATCGGAGATGATACTTACGCTCCGAACAACACCATTTGAAACAGCACGCTCCGATAAAAGGCTGTGATGGTATATTTAGGGACTTCCTCAACCGAGCCGACCCCGAAATCCTCTTCACCATCATTCATAGTATCGACGACATTGGTATTTTTGGTCTGCAAGGGAGCCATGACAAAATCTTTCTGGGTCGCGCTCATTAAACACGGAATGGAATGGAGGACTTCTAACTTCTTAACAGAAGATCAAGCCGGGCAAAGTTATGCGCACGATTTCTAGGATGGAAGTACCCACCGGTCGCTCCAGGTAGTTGTAGCATCGGCCCGGTTTGAAGCGTGGTTCGTACAAGGGGTTTGCCGTATCGTGCATGCGCAAATGCCTGTGAGATTAGCCTTATCTTAAGGCGGCCGATGACGGCAGGGACGATTTGATAGCGAATCCCTGCCAAACAGGTCTGCTGTTGCATCCTATCGCCTACAAAGCCACTTGTATCAGTTGTATACTTGTATTGTAGTTAATGATGGCTCGTAGTAAATGGAATAACGAAATTGCGGACCCAGTTGTGCCTACCTCTAGGCAAAGCTCACGGTATGGGCCTGACCTAAAATTTTGCGCTAAGACAGCCTGCTTGTGTTCCTACTTTAGGCTTTAGACTAGAACCTACATCTTGTTACCAACTGGATACAGCCGACGGCTTATCTAACCCCCCTGCGTATACTTGCCGCAATGATCTCTAAAAACCAACCTAAATAACGTATCCCACGGGTGAGTCGATCATACAGGTATGTTGAAGTCGTGTCTTAAGCAAAGCTCGTAGGCACTATTCAATTGGTTCTCAGGGATGAGCAGAGGTACAGAGAGTCATCAGGAGTTAGTTATCACTTAAGCAAAGCTCGAAGTGATAGAGGTTTGACTATCGGTCGGGTTGTAATAACCTTTGTAATAGTCAGGGGGTAGTCGTCTAGTCAAAGACCGTGGCGACAGGTAGCAACGATTAGTACAGAGTAGACTGTCTAGCTCGAGAGCAGGTGAGAATCCAATAACAAAGTTGATTGACAAGGTTGAACAGAAACCATAAGGGTTGTACTTGCTATGTACTGTCCCCCAGATCCTGCCTGTTGATGAGCAAGTTTGGTCCTGGCCTATCCAGATGGATTGTGGCTCGTTGACGAGCGCTCATGTGACCGTGCTTGTTGACGAGCTCGTCACGTGGGCCCTGCTCGCAAGCAAGCGATCCTGTTAGGCGCCAGCCGGGCGGCCTTCTCGTGCTGCGCCTTCCCCAGGCCTCTGTGTTTGGTTGGTGGTTACTTATTACCCTGTTGTCCTATCGTAGGACATAGGATTGTAACACATTGTTGCTATCTGGAAGCATGAAAATAAGCTTGACTGCTATTTTAACTGCTCCAATTCACCAGACCTTGCACCAATAGAGAACTGCTGGCAACCTCCAAAGCAGTATCTTAACAATACCCACATTGGGATGAGTTTGAGGCTCGTGAGCTTGCTCATGAAGATTGGAAGGAGTGCATAACCCAGAAGTTCATTAACAAGAGGATAGACAGCATGCCAGAAAGATTGTGGACTTGCTTGGAAATGGATGTTCAAATGACAGGCTACTGAGAGCAACAACACCAAAAAACCAGGTCGCAACAGCTATCCTATACAAATCTACAGCTTCAATAATGTTAGAATCTTCAATAGCAGCTCAAAATAACCACATTGTGAACAGTGTGGGTGTGATTTGTATGGGGTGAGTTCCGCCAAGCCTTTCAGTGTGGCTTCTTTTTTGTCAACCGCGTGACCCCGTCTCTATGCCTACACAGGGCAAGTTGAGCACCTAAAGTTGTCCCAAGTCGCCAACTTGGTGTTTGTGCAATCTTAAGCGATTTTGCTGTGAGAACAGTCTCTTTTGTCACCTTAGATTGGACAGGGTGGGGGCAACAGTCGATGAAGCTGTCTGGTGATCTGTAAGTATGTTGTGACCCCAAGGGTAGCATGATGTGAGAGGGGGCCAGTTGGGGATACCAACTGCTCTCTGAGATAGATGAATTGGTAAAAGGGAGGTTTAGGCTTGTTGAAGAGAGGAGTGTAGAAGAGACTAAGTGTGGAGACACCACAAGTGGTAGGAAAGATAAATGATGAAGAAGGGACCAAGTGTGGGAATACCACAAGGGATCAGGGAGGAGTGAAGTTGAAGTATTGAATTGAGTTGCAAGCATGAGTGAAAACTACTTAGAGTGGGAAGAAGGGGGTTCATATATCTGGATAGGTGGCTAACTAAGTAGGGGTACAGGGATGATGATGCAAGCTGACAAATGGGAGCTGACAAAGGGGAGCTGACAAATGGCTAGGTGCTGATACAAATATAAGGACTGGGAGGGTTGTTGTTGGCTGCAAGCCATGTCAGGATGACACATGATGGGGTGTCTATAAGGAGATTTGAATAGGAGATGATGCTGTTCAGCTAGAGGGCTCATTGATGCGGGACATCTGTAAGGGACACAACCAGAAGCGGAGGTGAACCCTCTTCCACCAAAGGGTCTCTCCACTAGGAGACCAAAGGGTGTCCAAAGAGACCCCACTAAGCAAGGAAACCTATTCTCAGGATCTGTTGGTAGAATAGAACAACAGATAGAAATCTTGATTATTGCATTAGTTGCTTGTGTAATGGGCTAGACCCATGTGGACCCACCTATGTGTCATCCTGACATGGCTTGCAGCCAATAACAATCCACCCAGCCACTCCTCATAGAACCTCATGGAACCTCATAGAACCTCATGGAACCTCATGGAACAACACAGAATCTTCTGGTTGCTGACAAATGATTACAAATGATTACAAATGCCAATGTATCTAGAACATTCCAGGAGCCAGCAGTCTGTCTATAAAGGCAGCCTGCCCTCCTGCTCAGATAACTCATGCTTGCAATTCAAAACTCAATCCACTCCTTCAATTCACCTCA